AAACACAAGTGTTTAATAATAATTCTCCCAAATTAAACTAAGCTTGTACTGTCGCAACGGACATAAAAAAAATATTTTCCCCTGTAACCCCGCGTCCAAATCGATAAGAAACGTATGTGTGCATCGCTACTTATGCGCGGTTGATTCGATGTAAGGGCGATAGGCTAAGAATTCATGGCGGGTGAAAACGGGATTTATGTAAAAACTAATGCACAACTCACGACGCGGTTTTTGCCCGCAGCGGGCGCAGTTGTAATCTCGATTTTCGCCCGCGCGAAAATCGAGTTCTTAGAATAATCGCACAAATAACCGCTCCCGTGAGTTTTGAAATAAAACCGCAATTCCACAACCGCCGCGGGCGCGGGTGAAAATCGCGCCGTGTGTTCTTAGCCATACAGGTAACGCTACAAACGCGCGCTCGCATCGAATCGATACAAATACATCATCGCTGCGGGGTTACCAAAAAACGTCATCCGAAGTTTCGAATGTTGCCATCTCTCTCACACAAAGCTAAGATGGCAGTATGAGCGACGGTGACAGATAGACCTGAAACTACGTAAACAACGTTTCAGAGTAGCCCTGGGGTCGCGATGCAGGCCGCTACTAACCGGCCTTAGCGGAAATCATTAGGGGAGGCCTATGTTCAGCAGTGGACGTCCTATGGCTGAAATGATGATAATGATGATGATGATGATGATGATAGGGTGGTGATGCAGCCGCGTGACTGTCAAACGCGCGTTTATAGTTCCAAAATACTGGACTGTCCTATCGATGACATTGACAGTGGGGCGCCACCGTCAATACCGGATCGCTGGTTCCGATTTTTGCCATGTTGGAAACCATATAGTTGAACGATGGTAGCGCCCCCCTGTCATTGAGTTTGATAGGACAGTTCAGCGTGGGTCATCTAAAGTAAGTAGTAAGGCTGCAATAAGTCGCAATGTGTAATGTCTTTACCTGTGTGTGATGTCTGTGGTCGGAGTGGCCCGCTCTCGCGTGTTCTGGCAACGGGGGCACGGGACGGTTTAGGGGAGCACTGAAACAGACAAAAAGCTACTTTATTACAAACACTTTAGAACTAAATTCACAGAAATCTACGATTCATTCATTTGCAGGAATCAACTTCTCAACAAAACATAAAGCAATGATTGATAAAATTATAATTTCTGAATACATACATTTTATTTCTGCTGTAGAGTAATACCCATAACAAAGAAATAAAACATGGTTAGGTTTTCTTCTTTGTACAGTCGCGGAATGAAAAGGTTCGTCACCTTAGTGTCGGTTTTCGCTTGCACTAGGTGCTGTGAGAGTCAATCGTGCCAACATAACAGTGCAAGAAACAGTGCTGCTAACATTTAAATAAATATGACGTTTGCTAACGAATAAGGTTTTGCTTGTTTATTTTTCTATCCCATCAGTGCAATGCAATGATGACATTGACCAATTGACAATAGTTTTTTTTTANTTTCAAAAGGTAATATGTGCTCGCGATTCGTTGAAGGAATCAATTTGAAAACTGACGAACCTTTTCATTCCGTGACTGTACATTGGTATTATGCTGTGTGACAATAATCTAGAAAATTACAGCAAATACAAAAACAACCCCAAAACAGTTAGTTTTCATTTGGCTGTAAAATTCGATTTTAGTACATAGCTTCAAACTCAATTCATTTTATCAGTCAAGAAACTTGATGGGTAGTTCCCATCGACATAAAAAATCTATGTGAGAATAGTGTTTTGACTGTTCATTGCGTGTATAATTTTTGTCTCATATTCACATTAGAATAAGTTAAGATTCATTCATTATATGGGTGCATCATAAAAAGTTTGTCAATGAGGGTTTTCGCGTATGAAAGATCCGCTAGATGGCGGGACGTGGATGTGGGGTCTGACTGCTGCGTGATTGGTGGATTTTGACATATCTGTCAATGTCATGTCAAAAATAACCAATCATCAGTCATTGGACAAAACTCTACGCGCTCACAGACCGGGCTTTAGTCAATGAGGGTTTTCGCGTATGAAAAATCCGCCAGATGGCAATACGTAGACGCGAGGTCCAATTGCTGCATGATTGGTTATTTTTGACATGACATTGACAGATATGTCAAAATCCACCAATCACGCAGCAGTCAGACCCCACATCCACGTCCCGCCATCTAGCGGATCTTTCATTCGCGAAAACCGGAAAACCCTCATTGACTAAAGCCCGGTCTGTGAGCACGTAGAATTTTGTCCAATTACCCCTAGCTACCCATCCTTATCGCTCGCGCGTAATTATATTGCTGTCGCGACTGTGCGACTGACACCCGCAGTGAAATTACGCGCGATAGCAACATAATGAGGGCTATCGTTTTTATACTTAACAGTTGGCACCCCTGGCGATTGACAGGACCTTACTCTACAATGGCGCCATCTTGATAAGTGCAAATACGATAGTCCTCCTACCACTTTAGCGCTCACAAGTTGGCGCCACTGTCTTCGCTACTAGCAAGTGACAGGACATTACTCTACAGTGGCGCCAACTGGTGAGCGCTAAAACGATAGCCCTCATTACGCGCGAGCGACAAGGATAGGTAGCTTGGGGTCATTGGACAAAATTCTACGTGCTAACAGACCAGACTATAGAGCGAACCACCCTGTTTGCTGCTTAAACCCGTTAACGGACATAATAAGATCATTTTTTTCTGTTTTGAACCATAAAAACAGGGAATAAGACTCAAAATATCTTAACCTCAGTACGTACCTGTTCATGAGATGCCTGGCGGGCTGGTTTAGCTCCACGAAGGCGATGGGGAAGATGCCCACGCGTTGCTCCAGACGACCTTCAGCCCAGTTCTCGTCCACGCGTCGGTGGACTGTTATTATCGCGCCTGTAGGAAAAAAAAAAATATTTGAAAGATAAATCACATTTTATTTACCTATACTTGACGCAGCGGAGGCTCCAAAACATTTGTTTTTTATCAAGGAATAAATGTATTTTAACGAAATACCTATGTTAATATTAATGACAATAGTGCTTGGTCTTTACCAGCCTAGCTCACTCTTTATTATAATGTCTGACAAATGTGACCGAGTTTCTTTCGTCACTTTCCCTCAGCGTCAGTTGTCCCAAAGCATTAGTTGGGCAAGCTATATTTGGGAAGTGTATAACTTAAAAGGGCACACATAATACTAATAAAATTCTGAATTTATCCCATACGCAGATCCCATACATCACAAGCACACTAAAATACTCCGTTGCTTTATGATTTCCTTAAAGATTATCTCAAGAAAATATTCCATAAATTGAGTAAAGTAGAAAACTTTTAGATTTATCAAAATTTTCTACAGCGCTTCAATCTAACGAATTTTAAAGGAACTCATATCCAATTTTGATGTCTACTAGATAAGAACTTAAAGATCATCATACCTTTATCGAAAGCAAGGCATCCTTCCTCGTCCGGCGCCGACATGCGAAAGTCGTAGAGAGCTTTACAAAGCGCCGTGGGCACCGGCAGTGGCACAATCACCTGAAAAGACGATAGGAATTTATTGTCTGCTAGCAACTATGAAATAGTAGGAAAGGACCATAAATGGTGTTAAGACCTTTTCTTGCAAAAGTAAAATAACGAACGAGCTTATTTCAACTTTCTTAACATTTACGAGAGAAAGGTCTCTGTTTATATTACGTACTGAATTATTCGATAGAATAGACATAGTACAGATGACTTCATGAAAGTTTAACACTGTAGGACTGGTTAGTTTCAGTCAAATTACGTCCACTGCTGGACAAAGGCCTCCCCAAGAATTGCCACAACGACGGGTCTTGCGCAGTCCGCATCGAGCTGCTTTTCGCGACCTTTACTAGACCGTCGGTCCACCGAGTGCCATAGCACCTAATGTAGTTGCAATAAAAGCAATTTTAGAACAAAAATAAAATGTGTAGACCAAAGTGTATCTTACCTGTACATAAGTGATGGGGAACATCCCCGTCCGGCCAGAGCACTCGCCCTGGTACCAAAACGGGTCTAACTTCTTCTGCAGGATGATCATATCGCCTTTCTTAAACGAAAGATCTCTGGAAAAGGAAACGTTTTAAATTAATAATAGTTTCACAACAAATTCTTTATCAATGTGGACAAAAAATGGCGTAGAATAGAACTGTACCTACCAAGTTATCTGTTTTCACGGTGATTCTACCGTCATACTTTTTATTTATTTATTTAAAGACACAACAACAAAATTAAGCCATAAACTAGATTACGAACAATAAATGCTAAGTGCAAACTTAATATTCTACCATCATAAGTGTAAATGTATTGAACCTACAAAGTTACATCCTCATACTGTCAGCTATCACTACTTGTCAACTCACCAAAATAATTTATTAAAGCAATATGAATTAGTCAAATTCCATAGAAAATCCAATACGTTATTTATTAATCTTTTGCCCTTCTAAAAGCTTTTCGGAATTATAATTGAGAGAATTTCTGCAGGTAGGATTTAAAGAACTTCTATAGAAGTATTTGTACTGTAACAGACGAGGCGAAGAAAATCGGCAAGACTTGGAGCGAAATCAGACGCGAAGCTCAAGACCGAATGCGATGGAGGACTGTTGTGGACGCCCTCTGTCCCATCTATGGGACATAGGACTTTAAGTCAAGTGAGTCATAGAAGTATTTAGATACGTACCCCTGCTCCTTAGAGATGTAGTCGTGTAAGGCCCTAGCATGCGGCGGCATTTGCTTGCCGTCCGCGCGTCCCATCTGTTGCTGACCTTGTTGCAATTGGGCCTGCAATACAACATAATTATTGAAACACTGCATAGATACATGGAGATGATAATGAGCGAAAGGATACAGCCGACTTTGTGGATTGGTAAAAATAAAATGCAACAATAATAGTACTTTTATTAGTTTCACGTGACTTCTACCAGCTCTTTTAAATAATATCAGGTATTTAAGAGCGTTTATGTCGTTTGGCGCAAAAACAGTACTTTTTCAACCCGTTACAATCATTAACCAGTTACATTACAAATATGTTATAGGCATAAATAATTAGGCAATTTCGTCGTCTAAATAGTTAGTTGAGAAAATATTTCGATTAGTATAGTATTTAAGAATTCTATCAAGATAAGTCCACACAGGTTTTCAAATTTCCACTTTAGCGTCAGTTTACAAGCTGAAATTTTTATAAAAAATACTGTGAAAACGATATAACAAACATTTGTATCCTTTAGCATAGGTCCTTAGGCAAATAGTTAATTGAGAAAATTCTTAGATTTAAGCATTTTACAATAAGAAATCACAAATTCATAGAACGCGAAATACCCAAAAATCAAAGTGATATTTACACCATTATTCTTCTTTAATTCAACATAAAAATAGCTTAATATAAGAAAATTACATCTTCTTTAAAATATTTACTTTGAACCGATATATTTTTATATATCGGTTTTATTATTTATATTT